CGGAGCAATATTATCTGACTATAGAAGAAATTAAGGCTATCTGGGAACAATGTACTCAGAAATTACTTTCAAGATTGTCTGCCACTATAAAAATGGATCTGATAGAGGCTACAGAAGAGGAACAGATTTTACTGGACAAATTAGAAACTAAGGCTGAATTGAATGTGGATTTGAAAATGGATTTTTAAAAAATGCCAGACTACAAGAGTGATATGAAAAAAGATGCCACAGTGGATTTACAAATGAAACCAAAGGGGACATACAAGTAATAAATGAGAAGAGAGACTTGGATAGCCTTATCTTGGATTTACAAAAAGGACATGTTAAACTACTGAAGCTGTTCCTGAGAGGAGACAAAGAGAAATCAACATTATTATTTGACAGGATTAAAGATCAAGCTTTTTAAAAGTAAATGGAGGGAATACAAAGTTAATTTATTTGACCAGGGTTAAAATATAGATGTTGTGGTTTTTGGTAACTATTAATGGAATTTCTTTTTGACCAGGACTGGATGACGAGATTTTAAAGATTTGTTTATAAAGGGGGAGATATTTCTTTTGCTTTATTCCTCAGAGAAAGTGATAAATTGGAATACAAAATGGAATTATTTGATTAATGTTAAAAATAGATATATGTTATTACTTCTGGTAGCTCTTATGGTAGCTCTTATGGACTTTTGCTGAATAGGATTGAATGATGAGTTTTTACAATTTGCTTATTGATAAGAGATGAGATATGGGAAGAAGATGCTTTACAAGATCCAACATGGGTTTACTAAGAATAAATCATATCAAACCAACCTGATCTTTTTTGATACTGACTAGTTTAGCCGACCATAGGAATTTGATAGACACAATGTATTTTGATAGCAGAAAACCATATGACAAAGACTTCTCTGTGATTCTAGTAGAGAAGAGGGCAAAATGTAAGTAGTAAGAAGAATTTCAACAGGAAGAAATCAGAAGTCCTGTGGGTGGGAAAAATCAAAGGCATGAGTATAGGGTGGAGGAACCATATTGGTAAGACTACATGCAAACAGAATATGGGTATCTTGCTATATCACAAGCTGAACGTGAGCCAAAACTTTGACACAGCTATAAATCATCATCATCATCATCAGAAAGGAGGAAATACCATCAAGGCAATTAATACCTGGGCAATTCCAGTTATTACACAGCTGGAATAGTGGACTGGACTCAAGCAGTACTAGAAGCCCTGGATAGGAAGACCAGAAAAATAATGACAATGAATCATGCCCTTCATTCATGCAGCGATGTTGACAGATTCCATTTACCACAGAGCATTGGTGGGTGTGGAATGTTGCAAGTACACCAGACAGTTGAAGAAAAAAAATGGCATTGGAAGAATATCTGAAGGACAGTGAAGAAGATGCACTGAAGCTAGTACACCATGAAAGCTTACTGAATACTGAAAAGACCAAACTGGCCTACAAGAAAGACCAAATGAAGAATAGAAAAGAGACATGGCTGGTAAGGCAAAGTATTACATGGCCAGTACACAAAAAAACTAGCAGGCAAAGCAGAT